AGTGAATTATTCATTCCAGTGTGTTTCGCTTTTAAACACGAGCTCTGTCATATTCTGATTGTCTCTGAAGAGCGCGAGCCCTCACACGTCGCGCTGTGTGAAGTACAGACTGAATGGATTGTCAACACATCCCACCGCTGTATGGCCAGATGAGCCGCAAACTACGTTTTCTCGACTGGATGGTTATTGTTATACTGGTTAGTCTCGCTAATAAAGTTTTGATGGATGAAAACTGCAATCAAGGTAAAGACGAGACGATTGCGGTGGCGTACAGGACTCGTACAGTAAGCAGGCGTGAGTCCCTTATTAATGCATGTCTTGACGCACTGATCGCACATTGTATTTATGCACAGGCACAGACATTTCCGTACATTCACGTTGTTTCCACACACATTTTATATATATATATATTGCATTTTTTTTCTTTCATGTGTGCTTACATGGGCTCCTTATATCATTTGGTTCTTTGGTGTCCTTTTGGAGTATCCTTTTGTAGTTTTGGAGTTCTTTTGGAGTGCCGGATGCCGTGCACACACCCAAAGACAGTTGGACATAGTGGTGTATTAGAGGTAAAATATTATATAAATACTGTTCGGTTTCTGGCACAAACCGATCGTTTCGTGTCTTAGGACATCAATGTGTCGTCACGAGCCGCACGGTTTAATTTGGATTTGTCTGTGCATGTTTTTTTTACTCTCATAGATTTTGTTACCATTGCCATGCATTATAAGACTGACAGACTGCAACGGCTGGAGTTAAAAATCATAATTTGTGTTCTACTGAAGAAACAAAAGTCACCTACATCTTGGATGCCCTGGGGGTAAGCAGATAAACATCAAATTTTCATTTTTGGGTGAACTATCCCTTTAATCTTTGTAAAGGTGACATGTTTAGTTGACATGCATAAGTGCATGTAGACTTAACAAGGACACTGTAAAATATGTATTTTATTTTAGTTGGAAGTAGATGCCATCTTAAGGATTTTAAGGTAACAAATGTTTTAAACCTCATCTGGTAGAAAAAAAAGCCTTTCTGCAGCCAGGTAAGGTAAGTTTCTGCGATTATGACCACATGAGGGCGCCGCTGACACTGTGAATGATCTTACAGGCTTCTGCACTAACAATCCAGTCGCGTGTGCTCTTTGGGAAACATCCATAAATTGAGTTTGGTTTGGAAAGGTGGGGAGGAGGGTCAGTGCCGAGAGCCATTTATAGACAAAACGAGCAGGGAGAGAGAAAGAACATACAAAACTTGACAATATCCTTTTTAGTTTTTACAAACGTGCAAGTACAACCTGGAGTGCACGAACAGAAAAACGCAAAATTATAGCACCACTTAGCCCTACTCTCTGGAAAGGATAAGTAACACTGAGGAAAACCAGACACATGCCATTGCTATAAATAGCAGTACATAAGATAGTGGTAAGTTTACTCTCTCCGTGTTTCCAAGATTTTGGAAACTTGTTTCAAGAGCCAAATTGATAAATGAATGTTATGTTGTGTTTTTTAAATCAATGTATTAATATTTGTAAATGCATACCTAACAACAGTTTTTTTTTCTCTTAATCACTTAATTTTCTAAAACGATTGTACTTTTGAGGCATAAAGAAGCTTATTTTGTAAATGATGAAGTAACAGCTGTGACTGCGTTAGCTTTTTTAATCTTGAATTGTATATTTGAAATTATATTTTTATAATCAGACTATGTTTGGGGCGTGCGTTTTAGAGCATGATGACATTCATTTACAAACACATGTCAGATTACACAGTCCAATGCAATAATGAACATTACTGTCTGTAGTATTCAGTAAATTACTTTACAACTGATAGGCAATTATTAATGGTCTCATGTGCGGGCGGTGTGTTTTTTCCTTTAGGAAACTGAAGTGCGCACGCGGCACTTACAGTGAGCTGCTGAGCACGCGGTAGCAGCTGCAGTCAGTGTGAAGGAAACAGCTGTGTGTGTGTGTGTGTGGGTGGAGGTTTTTGACCTTTTGAAACAGTTAATCTGTCTTGAGTGGAAGCACCATTTACATAGCCTAAGTCGTTGCACAATTAATAATTTTTTTTTTTTTTTTTTAATATGGAGCCCATAAAGGGCCGGTGATGGAAGAAAATAAATATCTCAAACTTTTGCACTCCCTTAAGAAAAATCATTCGCTTTCCCTCAAAAAAAACGTTTAGTTTGCGATCGTAAAGCTTCCCTCTCTTTTTTGGCGCCAAGTTTCGCTAAGTTTCTTGCTGTCCTGTAAAACGTTGTGTTAAAAAAACGTTCCCTTTCAAGGGAACTTCGAACTGCGTCCTCTAGGGGTCGCTATGGGGAACGCCTCGTCGTGACCCGTGTCTGAACCATACATTCAAAAAACACCAACAACATGTTGGCCGGCGACAGCCCATGACGTCACTACCGGTGCGACTATAGTATAAATAGGCGCCGGGAGCACACATCATTCTCTTCTTCGTCTTCACTGACCGGTCTGTTTGAAGCGTGCATTCCAAAAAGCAAAGTAAGAGCTTTTTCTTTCCTACTATGGCGAGCACTAGCGAC